CATTCAAACGTTTACCATTTTAGACCTTCTATTCAGAAGTTGATGTGAAGCAAGTTGATGTAACTACTACTACTGGAAGCTTTGGCATTCTACCAAGCCATGTACCCACCCTAGCTACTCTAAAACCAGGGCTTCTCACAGTACATGATGAAGGAGGTGCTACTAAATATTTTGGTCAGTATTACAGGCCACAGTTAGTTCTATCATAATAAATGAAAATGATTATTATTAATTTTATCCCTCAACCCTTCAATATCAGTGTGTTTGTAATCAACCTTTGTCACCTACGATCTTGGACAAAAGTCCGGGAAAGTCATTCAATATTTTCCATTACCATTTATTTTCAGGATGCCTTCTGAACCTTTAAGCCCCAATATCCACATACAAATTCTTCAAACTGATCTCCATACATTTCTACAAAGAATAAGTTGCGAGAATTTGTTTGAAGATCAAAGCATTTTTCCTTAGGTGATCATTGATTGATTGTCATAAACTGTTCTCTCAATTAGGGACGGACCATTAGAAAAGTTATGGGGGGTGGGGAGTTTTCAAGCCGCAGGAATTTTTTGTCGTTATCAAATTCCTTGTATGATTTTTTTAAGGCCAGAGCATGAATATTTTCTAGGGTTAATTGGCATGCATGAATTTTTTTCTCATTTTATTTTCCCTTGTGCGTATATTTTTTTGTACTTGTTATTGTTAGGAGAAACTTGATGTTGGTCACTCTTGGGACTTTAAAGGGAAAGGTTTACGGATAAGCGCATGCTCATTAATTAAATTACTTTTTCCCAATTCATTATTAATTCTATCGGTTAATAATCCCACTCACATGTATCTCAGCAATCTAAGAGTGTATTTCAAAGTAGAAGTGTATTTTAGAGTAACCTGAAGTAGGATGGAGGAGTAATAAAATTGTAGAAAACATTAGTGGATTATGCCAACACTACCAACGTTGAATTTATTGTTGACCCGAAGGTTTTATTCCATGGCTGGTTAATTTACAGCTATTTGCACACAAGTTGATCAAGTGACTGCCAGGGGAGTGTGCAGATTGGTTCTTTGACAACATTATGACATCATATTGCTTGCATACATGATACAGCATCTGCCTGCAGAAAAACAGCATTTTGATAAATGAGCATGCACTGAACTGTGTACATGTCCCTTTAAAGGGTAAAGAATTGCTATTTTTGTCACAAATGCCTTGCTTTTACCCTTCCCTACCCCATGCAATTTTGAAAGTTTAGTAAAATTGGGGATGTATACCAGTAACCCCTCATTTGTGTTTAAAATATCTTGTGTCAAGTATATGACATTGTGGACTAAGAAATGGTGTTTGAGGATGTTTGAGAATCATTGGAATTGATAGAAATTACAAATTTTTGTTTTTGTTACTGTCGAACATCCACTAACAGCCACCTCTCCACAACAGTCACTTTTATGGCAGACAATCCAGGCATCGACTGTTGTTTAACTCTCTACAACGGCTACTTTTTTCTGCGCCAAAGGTGGCCATTGTGAAGAGGTTCAACTGTATTTCAGCCTCACATTATAGCTAATTGACAATTGTCTCCTTGTGAAATAGGCTGGCCCTTACAATGTATATAGAACCCTGAGATCCTTGACCACACTGAGTGATCAATGTTTGCTCTACTGTGCCTGTAAATGGTGCACAAATAGAATGCATTAAATAATGTTATTATTCATTCAAAATATTTCCCATATTCTGATTGGCTAAAAGCACACATTTAATTCACCATAACCAGTTACTGATGACCAAATTTGGAAGAATTTTGACTTTAACGAGGAAATGACGTCAAAAATGCAGT